ATATGTATGTACATACAAACGAGCACCAATTAATTTTATTTAAAGAAATGGCGTGTCGTCTATTTCCGCTGTAGCAAACGTAGTACATAGGGCGACATCTAGATGTCATCTACCTCGCCCTATTCACTACAGATGTCGCCCTATGCACTATGTTTTTTTATAGGAGCTTTTCAAAGCAAAGGTTTTATGGTGTGGGACACACAACATTGAAAGTTTCTGGATCCACAACATTGAAAGTTTCTGGACACACAACATTGCAAGTTGATAAAAGCGTTGTAAAAAGCAGGCGAATTGGCTCATAAATACTTTAGATATATAGCTTTAATTTTTTTCGTCGCGGTAGACTTTCCGATGGAAACACCCATATGTAGAGCTACATAAAAGGACTTAATATTCCCGCCAACCCACTCCGCATTTCACACATTAAGCCAGTTTGAGAAAATCTTTCACTTCACTCCTTTGTTTACCACGTAGGCCTACATTTATTTTTATTTTCCTTGAGGACACAATTTTTGGAAGGTTAAAAGATTCTAGAAAATAAAGATCAGCACTGCACTTGATACGTATATATATTTATGTAGGTGCATACTTAATATAACATCAGAACTATCAGAAACTGAAAAAAGTACTAAAAATTAATGCTTACTAAACGCAAATCACACTCAAGTCTTTTCCTCTTAACGCTCAATCGAAGGGCATTTAGTTGAATATTTTCGTTGAACTCTATTTCAATGCCACGAAAATTGGTGGCAGCGCTTTCTACAGAAATAGAGACATCTCAAGTCATTAGTAAAATTTCGAATAATAGAATAGAAACCTTAGTTGCAAGCAGTGGCCTCTTAAGTTCAGTGCTGTTTTCATATATGCGCACCTGGTCAACGTAATTGACAGCTTTTGGCACAGTCATAAACAACAAATTTTGACATTTATTTTCATTGACAGCTTCGCAAAAACCCATGGCCATTAAATAGAGCGGCAATTAAACTAAAGTTTGCCAGTATTAATTTCCATGGCTATGTATCGGTAATTCGTTTGGCATTTATTGGATAATGGTTCAAAGAAAAATTTATTTAGAAACACTGTTGGTTTTTCTAATGTGTATAGGCGCACGCGAGGCCCGAGAATCACCAAGTACACCGCCCAGTTCGAATCCCGTTTACAAGATCGAGGCCAACGACGAACATGATGGTATGTTCTACGTCTATGTTATATTACGTAAATAAGCTAAGCATAAGAAACTGCTAGATTTAAAAAATAATAATAATGCTGTTATATTTACTACGTACATACATACATATGTATGTATTTATAAACTTGTATGTATCTTCTCTAACTTTTTAGTTCATTTCTGAGAAAAGTCAAGTGGCCGTTGGGCGCTTATGGTCTGATTATGGCAACTTAACGTAACTTATGGCTCTCTCTTAACAACTCTGTTAAATGGTTTATTTCGATTCTCTAAGTTCTACGTTCCGTTAAATTAAGTTAAGTTGCCATAATCAGGCTTTTAGATTAGTATCGTAAAATAAACGCAGCATGGCCTGGGTTTCTTTCAGAGCTTCTCTTAATCCTTTCATGCCCGATGTTGTCTTTTAGGCCACATTGATATTTTGGTTTATACATATTTTCGTTTGAAATATTTTTTGTAACGGTTTGTGTTTGTCGTGCATGTAAATAGCTGAATTTTTTGTCATAATGATGGAACCAGTTAGTTTTCTACGGGATTTCGTTTTTACTGCTTATGCGCAGCAAAATATTGCTAAAAGTGGTTCTGAAATATTTCTAAAGGTTTAGGTTATAAAATGAACAAAATATAATTAAATAAAGACATCACACCTTAAAATTGTTGTTGTAGTATGGCATCAAAAAAGTTTTAGCTCGATGGAATTTACTTCGAACATGAAAAGTTTAAGATAAATTCAGCATATCGAGGGCTTGTATTCAATAATTCCCTCTATCTGCAATTTTCACAAAAATGAGATTCTGATATAAAAATCCACCTAAGACTTAACGCTTGACATAAGAACGTACTATTAAATTGCAAAGTCAGAATTAACATCAGTGATGACAGGTAAGTAACAGGTGGGTTCTAACATTACAAAATAGTTTTTGTGAAAATTGCGAATAGAGGGTATTGAATATAATATCACTAGACACGAGTAAAGGCGCGCCATTGTTTTACGGCGAAGAAAGGCGCGTCATCATAGATATATACGTAGCCAAGGACTGCCACTTCATCATTAAATATTTCCCAAGAACTCTTTGGTGATGGTACGTACATATTATTACATCCGCAATCATAGTTGACCGCGAAAATAACACGTCTTTCTTCGCCATCAAATAGGTTAACGGCGTTCGTCGCAATTGACTAGATTTTGTGGCCTTTCTTCTTCGCTGAAGTTTATTTTATTCGTCTTTTTTCGCGGTCAACTTTTGACCGTAATGTATTTATATTGATTTATATTTATTTTCGTTTTTCTAAAAAAATGGAAGAATTCAAAAAAAAACTCTTAACGGCCTAATCAGGCGACTTGCTTAAGCTCAAAACAAACCAGCTGCTTTCTGAAAACCAAAATAAATTCATATCTGCCCAGATAGTTATATTGGCTCTCCCACCGAAAGTAATCACTACAAACTTTATTCCAATAAAAAATATCGCTCATACGCGTATTTGCATAGATCAAATTATTTTTGTAATTTGCGGTTTAGGTTTTTATTGTAAAATTTATTACTTTTGCTATGATTGTTTTGACTGTGACAAAAATTTTACTTGCAGAAACATCGTATACGTATTCGCAATTTCAAAAGTCGGGGCGCTTTACGGCGCCAGCTACCGTTATTCCACGTTTCAAAAACTACTCAGTGGACGATTTCCATTTCCTTGCGGTGTTGGGCAAAGGCAGTTTTGGCAAGGTAATTCTAATTCGCCCTTAAAATTTTAATTTTTTTTTTTTTTTAATTTAAACTAAAACTTCCTATATTTGAACGCATCGCTTGATTTCCAGGTGCTGCTGGCTGAGCTACGCGACACCACCTACTACTACGCAGTCAAGTGTCTGAAGAAAGATGTCGTTCTCGAGGATGACGATGTCGATTCAACCTTAATTGAACGCAAAGTGTTGGCATTGGGCACCAAACATCCGTATCTGTGTCACCTGTTTTGCACATTTCAAACAGAGGTAAATAGGAAACAATCAAAACAACTACATATCTGCCAAATGAAACATTTTATTTCGGGCGTTTAATTTATTAGAGAAAGCAGTTCGTTGCGACCAGAAATCGTTTCGAAAATTTCTAATTTATTCGTTGTCTTTGTTGTTTGTTGTTGGTGGTGTTGGTTGATGCAAGCACTGCAGTTTGCCTACCAATTACAAACGATTTAAAATGTTCCTGTCTCAATTTAAATTACAACAACAAACGCTGCTGTTGATTATTTTCGATTTATTTTGATTCGCATTGGCACCAAGTACTGGCCTATTATTAGATTCTTAATTTTTTTGGCGCATTTTAATGAATATTGAAATATTTACATATGTATGTAGCTGTATACACATACATATCTACTATGGGTATGTTTGCTATTGAAGTACCTAATAAAAAACTATTTCGAGCAGACTGTCTGTTTCCATGTCCATTTGTCATAAATTAAAGTCGCCTAAACTTAGTAATTCTAGTTGCATATATGTAGTTGAACATACATACATACACATATGTGCGGTCGTATACTTGTTGTTGCATTGCACAAGTACCCATTAACCCTGGCGTAGTTGTAATTTCGTGTTTTACATGGGCGGCCCGGCCCGTTGAAATGGCCACTAAATATGCGATATACACCTGCCGGCATCCTCCCAGCCACATGCCACAAAGAGCAACCCCAAATAACTCAATTAAATATTTGAGGAAAGGTGAAATGATAAATTTAGCTCACCGTTTGACCATCGATCGGTGAATAAGTTCGAACGCGCGCGTTGTCGCAGCCAGCTCGAGCGATGGCCAATTTTCAAATGTGGATCAGGGCATTTGATTAAAGTGAATGTCGGCATTAATTGCGTACATAGCCGGAGGAGAAACTACCCACTCGTCGCGCACCTCACACGCCGCACACACATCCGACGCAATGGTGGCGTAATGGTTTTGCGGTTTTACGTCTGTGATTCCTTTGAATAGAACCGCAAACAATTTGAAATCCATACGCGTTTTTTGCGATAAGAAATGCACAAGCACTTTCACTACATACGTACAAATTGTAACTATGTACATATATACGTGGAACATATTTAGGTAGGCTTCCCTATGCTGACATAGCTTCTTATTCGTATTTTGCACTGCAACCGACTAAGCGATTTTGGCTGAGTTCAACAAAGCACGCCAGTTGTGTCTTTTCTGTGCCAACAGACATCAATTGGCCTGGAACTTCCTAGGAAAGCCGAGTGCTTTTCCACTTCGTCTTGCCATCGCAGAGGTGGCCTCTATCTTCCTCTACGACCACTGGATTCCTACTTGAATGCTTTCAGGGCTGGAGCGTCTGTGTTCATTCGAACGACATGCCCAAAAGCCAGCTCTAATAGTCAAAAAAAATTGAAATGGCTGTCTGAAAACTGGATAGACATCTTTATCAAAGAGCTCCACACCCTAAGGGCCCAGGTATGTATTTCTTGGTGGCAATCTGTTCGAACTCCTCGGCGGGATGTACCAGCTATAGATACATATACTTGCATATGTATGTATGTATGTACATATATGTATGCTTTTTGTTTTTTCTTCAAAAAAAAAAAACAATGTCAGAATCATCGGCTTGCATTCTGCTACCTGCGTTACCGCATGACCAGTCTGGCTCACTTGGGCTCACTTGGTAGCGCCACTAAGTCCATATTTTTTGTTTATTAACAGATTGCGACAAAAGTTTCTGTCCTGCTTGGCAGTAATTGAGAATCGCATTGCTTCGTTAACTGATTTAAGCTTATAGATTTCAATTAGGGTTTGCTCCTGAACCTCAGCCCTGCCAGTTAACACCTCTTATATTAATGTAAATGTTTAACTTTTTTCCAGAGCCATTTGTTCTTCGTTATGGAATACCTCAACGGTGGGGATTTAATGTTCCACATACAGGAGAGTGGACGTTTCCCGGAAGAACGCGCTCGATTCTACGGTGCCGAAATAATATCCGGTCTGAAGTTCCTACACAAGAAAGGCATCATATACAGGTAAAACGTCAGTTCAACTTAGTATGTGCGTATGTTTTCAAACCTCTCCTCCGATTCTGCAGAGATCTTAAGCTGGATAATGTGCTGCTGGATTACGAAGGGCATGTCCGAATTGCCGATTTCGGTATGTGCAAATTGCAGATCTACCTCGACAAAACAGCGGACAGCTTTTGCGGAACACCAGACTACATGGCGCCTGAAATCATAAAGGTAAATTTACAAATTATACAAGCAATCTCTTTATTCACCTTCATCTTCCACGCCCAGGGCGAGAAATACAATCAAAATGTCGATTGGTGGTCATTTGGTGTTTTGCTCTATGAAATGTTGATTGGTCAATCGCCGTTCAGCGGCTGCGATGAAGATGAACTATTTTGGTCGATCTGCAATGAGATTCCATGGTTCCCCGTTTACATATCCGCAGAGGCCACCGGCATTTTGAGAGGGGTAAGTCCTCCATATCAAACCTTAATATATTTTCATAGGCTAAGGATCCATTGTTTTGATAGCTACTCGAAAAAGATTACACTAGGCGCATTGGATCTCAGTACAGCCCTGCTGGCGACATCAGCGAGCACATATTCTTCAGACCCATAGACTGGGATTTGTTGGAGAAGCGGCAGTTACCGCCGCCCTTCAAGCCACTTGTGGTGAGTTGTGTAATGATAAAAACGTATTGGATCATTTGATACCAATGGGTATTTAATTTTTTTCTTAGAAACATCCATTGGATACGCAATATTTCGACCGCGTTTTCACCAAAGAACGCGTGCGACTGACGCCCATCGAAAAGGAAATTCTGCAGTCCATGGACCAGAAACCATTCATGGGATTCACATATACAAACCCACACATCACCTTAGATTAAAATTACTTAATATACAACATACCTAAATGCATAATAACTGTCTGTATTCTGTAGAGATATGGGTATCAGTAAGTTTAAGGAGACCTAAGGCCTAAGAATTGATTTGGAAAATACTTTGCTAGGGACCTTTGGCAATAGATTGAGATAGCAATCCGAAGTTTGTTTCAAACCAGTATTTAAACCAGGATAGTTTAGTTTAGGTAAATGAGAGTTAAGTGCATATTTTTAAACATAAGAAATCAATTCATCCTTTTAAACACCATTATCCTTATTGTTAAAAAATATATGTTTGTATGTACATACATAGATTTGGGATTTACAAGATGTTTAACACGTTATAAAGCCGTACGATCGTAAAATTTTACAAGAGCTTAACATTTTGTTGTTGTCTTGCATAGAAAAGGAATACAACTATGAGTTCTGTGTAGTAATTTTATGAGACTACATACATATGTGAATCCACGGATAGTATTTTAAGACAATTAACACTTGCGAGTTCATTGAAGCCGGCAAGCTTTTGAATAAATACAATACAGTACATACATATAAAAGTACTATACATAAAAGTATACATATATTTATTTCCATAAAAAAAAAATGTTATAAAGAAATTTAACATTAAATCATCGCCCCGTGAAGATTTCTAAAGAGACTTACTTATTCATAAAAAAAACGTCGTACAAGCAGTGTGACCCTATTTAGTATTAAGCTAGTCAAACCCGGTAAACACATAGAAAACTATTGCTAAATATTAACTAATGTTACCTGTGTACAGACAAAATTATCGAGATATTTTAAGTTACTCGTAATGTGTTTTAGAAATACTACATATGTAAATAATTATAAAATGGTTTTATTAATAAAATTAAACAGAAAATGAGCTGAAAAGTGTTGCAGGTTCGTATAAAAACCAAATGCTTACTAACACCCGCAAGCGATGCCTCTTTGGCCGATTCCAATGAAGCACGTCAGACGTTTCTTTTCTGTAACAACTGAAGTCAATTGAAATTTCCAATTGAAGCCAAGTCCTTCTTCTTATGGTCTTTTCATCGCAGAGTGTGCCTTAACTAATTTTTCATAACCGATAATCTAACATATGAGCCATTCTTTTATAATTCGGACGGATTTCGTAAAAAATAAAATGATATCACCATATCTCCGATTCGCTTCAAATGTTTTTATGGGTTCTATACATGAAATAGCCTAACACGTACTCGGGGAAAATCTGTAAAAATTTGGATTTTTCGTGATTCTGACTGTCCGTGTACACGATAACTCGAGAAAAAATTGGGATATGTCCACGTAGTTTGGTAGGTAAGTTTCCCTTTATCCAAGGTAGGTTGGGATTGAAAAAGGGCAACATCGAACAATAACCACGCCCACCTTCCATATAACGGTATATTCCAAACATGCAAAAACTACGATATTTCCGTAAATACTGGATCCAAATTGTTGAAAGTTGGTACGCGAAATAGAATTTTGGCATAAAATAAGACTTATGAAATTTTTTGAAAATGGGCGTGACACCGCCCACTTACGATGAACTGCTGCATCTCTATAGTCCCTTCGCCAATTCCCACCAAACTCGGTACGAACATTGCTTAGAGCCTCTCTATGAAACCCTTTGAACATTTTTTTTTAAATCAGACAAGAACCACGCCCTCCTTTTATTTATTTCGCATCCCCGAATGTCTAAAATTCCACATTCGCAAAATCCGTAATGCGTATATCGCACGTTGGATAGTATAACGAATTATTTCAAAATTTCAGTTTTGTGGGAAAACGCAATCAAAGTTTTATCAATTCATACAGTTGGTATACAAAAAGACAGATGGAAAGACACATATACCTTTGCCATATTTGGGAAGTTCGGTTATCTGTTAGTCTGCACATCTTCTACTTTATAAGCTTATTAGTTGCAATTATGAAATCTCCAAAAACGTAATTTTTGAGTTACATATATATATTATTAAACGTGTGATATGTACATTATTTAGACCGTGCCGGAAAAAAAGTTCGCCGGCCACCTTCTAATCTAACTATGTTTCAAGACAATTTCGAAAAAATAGCCTTTTTACATTTTTTGTTATAATTGGATACAGTTTTTTTTTCCCCAAAGTTCATTGGTCTCAACTACCCAGTTCCCGTACTTATCCACCAGATGCCGGATTCTGCCAGATTTGGTTGATTACACATTTCACCTGTTACTGTTCCATGTTGTGTTCCTACTTTTAGGTCCACTGCGATTATCAGAATTACACTGGCGGTCTCGGTTTTTATAGCCATAATATAACTAAATTAAAGCTCACTAAAATCATTAAACCTTTCATAAGGAATTATTTTGTTATTTAAGTAGAACTATTAAAAAAAAAATTTTGTTGTCGGATGTAAGTGTCACTGTATAAATGGGGGCCCTAGGTTCGGCCAAAAAAAAAACTTTTTTTGTTTGCTTGTAAGATGGTACAGTCCATTAGATACATACATACATAACTATGTATGTATGTAAGCCGGCGTTAAAATAAATGTTCGTTCCCTAATGAAGGCGCGTGCATGCCCAAGTACTTACTTATGTACATATCTATGTATGTAGGTAATTTATCGGTCGATTATCGATAGCAACCGAACTTCAGTTGCGTTGCTAGTTGCCGAAACGATATTACAGATGGCAACTGACCATTCTCAACTGACAACTGCAGTTGCCACAAAGTGCGTATTCGGGCAACTACATTTTTGTGAATTCTATAAAGGGTGTTGGAGCCTATTTAGCAGCTAAAATTAAAAGGAATGTAAAATAGTTTAAACGATATTAACATTTTGCAATGTACTTTGACAACAAACAACAATTTTAAATTTCAGTTCTCGTGATGAACGTGCTTTTGGTGAATCAAAAGTGAACTGATTGCAAATTTTTTCCTCTAGCAACTGATTTCGTAAATTGAAGTGGTTGGAGAGGAACTTCCTTCTGAGAAAAATCGAAGAGATGCGCAAGCTTTTAGGAGCAGAGGTATTGAAGTTTCGGATAAAAGATAAACCTTGAAAGCGATAACTTTTGCTTACAGTGCGGGCGGTAGCTTTTAAAAGGTTGGAATTATCCTTTAAATGTCGCCTGATTGATTGAGGCCGTGCACTTCTCCCCCTCTTAAAAAAACAATTGAACTGAACTTAGCATTATTGCTGACTTTTATTTAAAACTCTTTATTTTAATAATTTAATTTGACTAGCACAGCTTATTTACAACCATTTGCCGGTTGTCGAACTGTCAAATTTCGATTATCGATAACTCTACATTCCATTTACAAATTCCATTGCCATTCGTAATACAAAAATTTTTCCCAGTTGCGTTGCCAGCTGGGCAACCGAACCGTGATTGCGTTGCTATCCGTAATCGACTCATTAACGTCACGTTTTGATCACCCTACTTAAAAAAGTTAGTCACATTAATAGGAGATGAGATTTCCACAAATTTCACAACAGTTTAATATGAGGCCTTAAAAGCCAGAGAAGCTTAACTGGCATTAAAAAGTAATTGAGACACAGCTTAAAATGCTTCGAAACGGTAATAGCCCGAGGTACGCCTTCTTAGTTTTCTTCTTTTTTTTTTGCTTAAAAATTACTTGTTGCATTTCAGGTGACGATATGTTAATATTGCTTTCAACACAGACCACCTCTTCATATTGATATGTATTCATTACCAAATCTAAGCAAATGCTTATGTGTGTGCATATGTACATTAAAGTGGTCCAAAAATGTATGTGAAAAAAAAAAAATAAGGTCGTATTTTTAATGCCGCCACCTTCTAGGATTATTCTATACCGACAAAAAATATACCCCTATTTTTTATTTTGAAATAAAAAAAAAATTTAGGGAGTGCTCAAAGCGCTCACAGTTTTCAATGTATTTTATATGGGGAAAAAACAACTTTTCGTAAATATAGTGTAGAATTCTTGCAAATCAATATTTTTCGATGGGAAAACTTTGCTTATCTTCAGGAGATTCCCAGTAATAATACCCAATTGTTCCTTTAATCATTTTTTCATGGTAACTATATTTAATAGGTCCTAGAAAATGCTATGGGGGGGGGGGGGAGGCAATAAAAAATCTTTAATCATAAAAAATGGTTAAATAAACAATTGGATATTAATATTTGAAGTCTCATGAAGAGAACCACAGTTTTACGATTCCGACTTTATTATTTTTGACCACTCTAATGTACATACAAACGTACATATGTATATGGAGCGACTAGCAACGAGAGCTCGAGCATTTGAATGTAAGCAGCAACTGGACGATGAAGCTGCAAAAGCTACATAGTATGTAAGTATTAACCCAGTATGGAAAGAAACTAGTTTATGTAAATATCGATGTTCAACTAGTTTTTTAACCACCACAACTAGTTGAAGATCTGACTTTCTTCCTTGGAACGACGTGTTGACTTTAACATGGCAATGTCCCAGGCATCAGTCAATTATCCGACTCTGCATTTGAGCTCAACTACTTTAAAACACATTTGGCTTAAAACACTTTAAAGTCAGTCGTTTGTTTACGCCATCGTTCTGCACTTCACAGATGCTTTGTTCATAATTAAGAAAAACCGAAATTAAAAATTTAAAATTAAATGTTCCGCCTAATGAGATTTGAACATGGACATTCTTTGCACGCTCAGTTATAACCAGCTACATATGTATGTATGTAAATGTTCAGTTTGAAATGTGTGCAAGCAGCAAGTCGATTGTCCGACTCTGCATTTGATGTCAACTACTTTAAAATGCATTTGGCTTTCAGCAATGCAAAGTCAGTATGTTTCTTTGACAGACGACTTTTCATGCTGAAATAGTTAATTGCCCACAGTTAGATGATTTTACATTTAATACTATGAACTATTTGCAAGGATATGTATCAAATGTGTAAGCATCTGGTTTTTCTCGATGAGGCTGCTAGGTGATTAGACATCCATTACCTTTTCAGGCAACAGAAATAATAATGAATAATATTTCATCAGA